CCTGGGGCTGCGGGGATGGCCGGTGCGCCAGCTCTTTTGGGGGGAAACCGGCGTGTGTTACATCGCAGCGTGAGGAATTACGTTCCGTGTGTTGTTCTGCAGCGTTTACGGTAATTTATCGTTAGCGTAAGATGCAGGTTTTCCAGTTGAGCCAACTATTTTTTTTTTAAAACGTGGTTTTTTTTAAAACGTGTGAAATGCATTTAATTTGCAGGTACTGTCGTACCCCCAGCGAGTGCATCTTTAGCTGTGCCCTTCACTCTACAGCCGAAAATGGCTGGCTGGCCTCAGTTCTGCTGCTCCTAAAAGCAAGGAGAGTTTTCCTATAGGTGGGAGGCATCAGGAAATGTGGTTCTTGCACTTGGGGCTGAGGGCATCGCTACCACCAGATCCACTGTTTGGTTTTTTGTTCCCCCCCCCAGTTGTTCTGTAAGTTGACATCAGCTTGCTGGAGTTAATTGGTAACTGAGACATGCATATTACATTTTTATTTGGGTCTGAAGCATAGTTTTAAGCTGACCATTCCTACTTGCTGTGGTTTTTGTTGACCTTGTAGAGCAGCCCCAGAGCTCATGAGAAGGTTTCTTTACGCATGGAACTGAAGCAGGAAGGCTCCAGCACTGCTCTCCTGCTGCTCAGGGATGTCCAATCCACAGGGTCAGTCCACAGCCAAACCCCTCAAGGTGCCCTCGGTGTGAGGGTCAGGCCCTCAGTGCCAAATGCTCTGGTTTGTACTCTCCTTAAAAGATGTAGATATTGCCGAAGAGCATTATAAAAGGTGCTGAGTTGTCTGTCCTGAAGGCAGAAATCTGCCTTGTAGACAGCACCGGGAATGGCCAGGAATGTTTTCCCTTGTTGCTGTGCTGTTCTGGAGCAGCCGGCTCACATGGTGGGGAGCATTCATGCCTCTACATTCCTGAGTTTGGTACTAGGAATGCAAACAACTGCCATCCCCGAGCTGGCTTTGTGCTGCGAATGTTTGTCGGCTGGGAACCGAGAGCCAGATGTGCTTCACATAGTTTCCAGGCATCACTGATCCATCAGCTGACAGTAGCTATTGAGTGCTCTTATGGTGGCCCAGAGACACAAAGATGAAAGCCTGATGCCTGTCAGCACCTCCCTTGCTATCCCTGTGTCCCTTCAGTTTTCACTTGAGTTCCCTCACAAAAGCAAATGCTACAGAAGATGATGTCGCAATGTTAATGACCTTTATTTTTCAGAAAGAAAATCCCATTTTATAATGTTGAACTGTCAGACAAATTTGAGATACATTGAACTTTGTTGTCGAATGCTTTCCTGTACCCGCTGCCAACTGCCCGTGCAGCTGTTTGGAGCCTCAGCCGGGAACCCACCTTCCTCTTCAGAAGCATTTTCCATAGCATCGCTTGGATGATTTTTACTAGGGAAGATGAACAGTATTTGAATGCCCTCTCAAACAAAGGTATTTTCATGGAGGAAAAAAAAAATTAATCTGACAAACAGTCAAAGGGAAAACAGTACAGAGAGGCCTGGAATAATTTCTTAAAGAGTGGCTTGTGTTGTTTCCCAGCTGCTCTGCCTTTAAACAGCCTCTTACCCCCAGCTCCGGGGCTCCACCAATTGTAAAAGCAAGAACTAACCAGTGCCAGATTCAAGTCTCAAAATACAAACCATTGTAGATACAGGGAGCAAAGGGGTGGGGGGCTGGTTCATAAGAAAACTTCCAAGCATTATTGTAGCATAAATAATATGGTATCTTTCACCTCAAATAGCCTAACACTTCATAAAGTGATATGAGCTTCACTAGTTGCTGAAACACAGCTATTTCTGAAGTGGAACCTGATATCTCTTTTTTTTTTTTTTTTTTTTTTTTTTTTTAACCAGCAGAGAGCAACGTTTTAAGGTGGAGAGTGAAGGATACAATATACAAACAACCGTAAGTATAACCTAGGAGAGTTTTGCAAAAATGGAAAGATCAAGTAAAATCTACTTTTAGTAATGACATGCATTCTGGTATATCATAAACTTGCATCCTTAGTTTACAAATGCAATTAATTTAAAAGAAATACAGGAAACTCAAATAACATTTTGTCTTCTCTCTCTCAGCAATGCTTTCTTACAGCTCTTTGGCAGCAGATGCTCTGGTTCCTTTCCTCTCTTCATTTAGTTTAATGTCCAAGTCCCAGAGCTGGGTGAGGAACCCTGAATTTGGGCAGATGTCTCTGTGAGCACTCACTGTTTTCACAGCATCCACGAGTGTCATGTTTTCATGGATCATTAAAAAGGCAAGCACTAAAGATGCAGAGCGGCTCACCCCCATGGCACAATGAACAAACACCTTACCTGCAGGAAAACAGAGGCACAGCAAGGTGAGTGGGCTTTAGCATTTCTAAAGTAAGAAAGACACAGGAAGGACAAAAACTACTAGAAACAAGTTGGGAAAACAATGGTGACAATTAGCAGATACTCCTGCTTTCAGGATGGGTTAGTATAAGGTCATGCCATACATCTCAGGCAAGGTGGTATTTCATACTGACCTCATGCATCTAACTTAAGCCTCAGATTAAAATAGTTGAAATTTTGTGTGGAAGAAGCTTTCTGTGACTAAACTTGGTAGTATAGTTTTCTGTGGAAAAAAAGCCAGTTTTGGCAGAAAATTTTGGCCCAGCCCTGACTGTAATCACTGACAAGTCCCATAAACTCTGTAGGATAGTCTGCCTGTAAAAATGGACTCATAATTTACTGTATCTCAGCAGCCCAGTGTGAGCTATAACTGGGCATTTAATAAAGCACTCTAGTGAAAGCAGCAGATCTCGCAGCCAGTCAGAGTCGGAGCAAACTCTGGAACAAATGGAAATTATGATAACTAGGCCATAATCCAAACTCTGCTGACAAAAATTCAGCAGGCCGTGGGTCAAGCTCGTAGTTTTTGACTTAGTTCATTAACTTCTGCTGCTTCTCTAGCTTAATAGACAGTCTGAATAAAGTTTCAATTCTGCGGAGCACTTAGGCATGTGAAGCATTGAAGCCAGCGCTGAAGCTCCGCTGCTCCCAGCTGAGTGCGTGGGGAGCGGAGCAGGGCTGTGGTACGCGGGGCAGGATCGCCCGGCTGGAGCCCCTGCCGGTGTGCGAGGGGTGCGAGGTGCGTGTGGAGGCACACGGATCCTGGCAATTCCTGCAGGATGGACCTGCGTGGGAGCACCCGCAGTGCCACAAGCTCTGCCCTTCCCACTCGCTCTACTCCTAGAGCTGGCCCTTCCTCCCCCCTCCCGGGGACCTGGCGACGGCCATGGCCACCATCCCTGCAGCGCACGGCACAGGCGCCTTCTCCCATCCTCTGCGCGGTGGTTCTGCCTGTGCCTTCTCGAACCGTATGCTCAATCTGAGCTTTGCTGGCTGCCTGTTACTGCAAGGAGAAGTCATTTGGCTCATGTTGAAACTTCCTCCCAAAACTTCTCTTTGCCTCGCTCTTACCTCCTGAAGTGTTTAAGGCTTTGCCTATGAAATTGGCAGCATCATAGAAGAAGATACTTAAATCAAAGGAAGGATCATCAAACGCTTCTACTCCGTAGTACTCTATTTGCAGATCTTTGTAATATTTGGCTCCTGTGTTGATGCTATATGGCCCATCTGCTGCATTAAGGATATGAGTAATGTTGAGGCTTTGAAGGGTAGTTTTGCTCCTAGCAGCCCACCTGTTGAAAGACATGAAGAGCTCATTGGCAACAGTCCTAACATTCCGCTAAAATAGTATGGTTTAAAGTTAGTGCCTGCTCCCGCTAGGGAAGGATGCAGGAACTGCAGCTTGCTTACAGAGTCACGAATTTCAAGAAGCCCATAGTGCTTTGCACATGAAAAATGTGATATGGTGTTGTGTAGAGCAGCAAGAGAGCAGACTTGCTGGTGGGATACTGTTAAGCAAATGCCTCCCAGCAGTTAAACCCTGGGAACATGGCTTACTGTATAAAGTGGTCAAGATTTTCCTTTAAATAGCTGTTTAGCAAGTTCTAGAGCTAATCTCTCATTCATAGTGTGCATGGGTCACAAGGGCAAGAATCAACACAGATGCAGCAGCACCTTGTTCCTGGTTCGGACATGAAGCAGCTGCATCAGGCTCACGAGTCAGGTTCCTTCCCACCATAAACTGGGACTGAAGTTATTCCACAAAACTGTGATCCTTAAATGATGTATTCAGGAGGAGGAGGAGTTGGGAAAAATGAGCTGATGATCTATGTAATCTGCAGTAATCCAAATAGAAGAAAATGGCAATAAATAGAAGCGGTCACAAGAATAAGGTATTTACATGAAAATTCCTGTTTGATATTTTCAGTTTTAGCATCTTCAAAAAAAAGTTTGGATTTGGACTGGCAAAATCCCTATTGTATAATTCGTTTGGGTCCTCCTCCATCTGGTTCTTGATCCTGCTACTCCTATTTGAGTGTGAAGGCTACTGTGCTCTCGTCTGCTGCCTTAGAGCACAGTTTCCAGGGCAGATAACACATCTCAGAGTTGACACCGATTTGAGATGGGTTCTTTAAGGACTTTCGTCTAGAATACGAATAATTCTTACCCTGACAAATCCACTGTGCTTCACAGAATATAGAAAACCCAACTCAGACACACTATGAGTAAGTCACCATTTTGTATGTCATGTTTTTCATGACATCCAAACTCCTTATGTTGTCAGTTTTGGAAACATTTATCGCAAAAACATTCCTGCAGACCCAAAAGCTACTCCCCAGTGTACCGCACCCCTTCCTCCTCCTCCCAGGGACCGATAACAGCTTAATGATAGGACCATAAATTCTTACGCATCTCCCAGGTAAATATTTGGCCAGACTTGGTCCACATGATTATCAGACCCTCCTCTGAACCAAAAGAGCCGCTGGAGGTCCGATAGAGTGGGTGTTTCGTAGGAGGCTCTGCTCCCTGCAGTGCTAGTCAGAGATGAAGAGTCTCTGGTGTGAGGCATCTTGCTCCTCTCTTGCACACACTGGGGCTATATCAGAGACAGCTTTTCTGAAATGAATTAAGAGGAAATTTTCATACAGAAATAATATTCCCTAGAAAGCAGTCCTGTTCATTACCCTCCAAATAGCATTACATTATTATAACTAGTGCGTGCAGCAGGGCCTGCAGGTGTTGCTAAAAGCATCCAGAGAGCAGGACTGACTGTGGTAGGACTCTACAGGCACGTAATTCATCCCCTGAGAAAGCAGCAGCGTAAGACTATATGATTTAATTTCTTGTCAAGTAACACTGTTGAAAAAGAACATCCTGTGCCACCTGAATGCAGCGTTGGCTGAACCTCATAGGTGCATGTATTATTTCTGTTACTATAGCACTGATGAGTCTATGCAGGAAAGCTCCAGTACTTTATGTTGGAGAGCTAACCGAAGCGTTTGTGCACACTTGATTCTGGTTAGTTAAAACCAGAAGCTTCTGAAAGAATGAATCATTGGACTGAGTTATACTTACAAAGCTTCTAGGGCCAAGGTGGAAGTCTTAGGCTGTGTATGTAAGACATATATTCATATAGTGTATGTGTATATACATATAAAATGTATATGTGTACAATTTTCTTTCATTTTATAGGGATATATTTAAACACATGTATACACATACCTATACGTACATGTATACATATGAATGGACTTTCACATGCATATATATACATATCTATATATAAGTCTGTGCATATATAAATAGAAACGGAGGGAATTTGAACTGTTTTTTCTCTCTCTCTCAGGTGAATAGCCCTGAACACTCAGCTATACTGGTATACTAGTGTCTGTCTGAGTGTCTTCTCTGGAAGCTGTTCCACTTTGTATAAACAATGTGATGTCTCTTTGCCTCCAGAGAGAGACTGTTTCTCTTGTCTGAGGGGTAGGGTACTTACCCAGGATGTGAGAAAAAAGAGCATCTGAATTTTGGGAAACTATAGAGCTGAAAGTTCTGGCTTTGCTGTCCTGTTGAGAATCCCACCTAGGACTGTTTTGCTCCCTCACAGATCATGCAGTGGAATATGGGCATCCCTTTTGCAATGTTATTTGCTGGTTTCAACCCAGGAAGCTCAGGCCAGCCAGTCCAGCCTGAAGCAGAGCTCAGTTGAGAGCAAGACTTCAAAGATATCCAAGCAGTCCCTTCTCTGAGACTTTAGGAGCATTTCTCCTGCCAGGATCTCATTATCCTGAATTGCTGTTCTCGCACCCAGAGAACATTGATGAGCTTTGTTTGGTTGCTTGTTGGCATTAAAGCCTATTAAAGCCATAATCAACGTGGGAGCCACACTAGAACTCTTCCTAAAGTGGAGTGGCCGGTGTTTATTCTGATGTAGTATCAGCTTTCACTCTAATGCCTGAATGCCCAAATCTAGAGCTTGGGCTTATTTTTTCAGCAAATCTAGAAAACAAGTGCAAATGGGACCTTTGGAAGTTATCTAGTCTGTCCCTTGCCCCACAGCAGCAGCAGCAGCCAGATGGATGATGCTCCTAAAGCAACAACAGCTTTGTCCAAACATCCAGGTATGTTATTTTTAACAGTGCAGGCTGATTCGGGGAATAAGCAGAAAGCAAGGGAGAATATCTTGTTGCTTATGGAAAAAGAAGTAGAGATAATGCAAGGCATATTATGGAACACACTACATCTATTTCTGTGACCTCAGCCTAAATTTGTTTCCCCTGCCCCCTTTTCCCTCCTCCTCCCCACAAATGTTAAGAGCAGTTATAGCTTTTTGTATGCTCCAATAAAAAGGAAGTCTCCCTAGGGTAACTACTTAATAAGCAAAATATGAAAAGCACAATAAAAATGATGGGAGAGATGGAAAAAAAGCTGACTGGTTTTACTTTTAATGATGAAGGAAAAGAACTGTAGGGAAGTAGAGAGGAATATAGGGATAAAAACCTACGAAATTTTCAGGGCAGATAACATAACACAAAGAGCTTTGGTAAGGGAGTATGCTGTGCAATCCCAGCACAGATTAGCATGAAGAATAGCACAGAAAAAAGATACTATGCATTGCCCTACAAGTTTTACTGCCTTGTGAAAGTCATGCACTGTGCTCAAGAGCTACTGCCAGCATCATCATGATAACCTGTTTGTACTTTCACCGACACAGAACGTTAAGCTGAAGCAGTAAAAGGAAATCAAGAAAAAGATAATACAGCTTCTACATCAGGAGATTCATAAGACCACAGGCTCATTTTTAAGGAGTGTGGCTGACTCTCAATCACTGCAGATGTTTAAAGGCTGAAGTTGTGGAGGTAAGCAGATGGATACTAAACTTTCAGTTCTCCTAGCCCCCACTGCTTTAAACTTCTGTTGTAGCCTGTCAGCTAGTTACAGTAATGGAGATGATTAGCAGAGAGAGGGAGAGAGATGATTAGCAGAGAGAATTACATTGCAAGGCCTCCTGTTCAAGAGCTGACTTTGAGGAGGTTCTCCAAGAATTGAGTCGTTTTGGTGCCGGTGAAACTCAGCAGGCGACTCCAGCTTTTGCAGCCAGGGAGGTGCTTTGCAACAGAGCTCCCTTTCATACAGTAAGCCTCTTTCCAAAAAGTGCGTCAACATCGTTTGCTTCACATGAGTAATGCCAGAGAAGTGAGCTCCTCGTGCCAACACGAAGCATAGCTCCTCCCAAGCACACCGCTCCGTCCTGCGCTGCGCTGGCCTTGCAATTGAATTGCTCTGCGGGGCCTTCGGGGTAAGCTTGGAAATAGCTATACCAGATGATTGGACTAATGAGGAAAGTAATACGAATTTTTTAATTGAAGGCTAGGGACTTTCCTGAGGGTTTCCTCCCCACCCCTTCTACTTTAAGGTACTGCAAAGCTAGCAAAAGTGCTGCCACTGATTACATTTCTCTAAGCTTCTCCCTCTGGGTATCTCCCAGAAGTTGCTCTAGTTGGAAACAGCCAGTGACTGCAGGAGGGCAGGAGCCCCTGCAATGGGGGAAAAAAAAAATTCTCTCTTACAAGGTCACTGACATTTTCTGCAGAGACCTAGACCATGCAAGTTGGATAGGATTACTTTTCTTTTAAACTGTAGCCTGGAAGTACCTAAAGACCATCTCATTAGATTCTTTCTTTCTATCTTTCTTTCTCTCTCCCTCTTTTTTTTCTTTTTCTGAGTTAAAAAAAACAAACAGCAGCAGCAAAAAAAAAAAAGCCTTCTACCTATAGGAGACGTTTGAGACTGGATAGAGATTTTAAGGACAACCCAGATGTATTAACCTTCTTGCTTTCCTGGGAGAATACAAGGTTGCACAAGCTTTAAAACTGTTTTCTCATTACACATCAGTTCCCAAACACCCAGAGCACTAGGGTGCACCCCAAATGGCTGGGGCCTGCTTGGCTCCACACCTGAGCCGCGGAGCCTGAGTCACCTCTCTAGGTGTCACACAGGCTTGGACTTCCCTGGCAGGCAGAAGAGCCAGCCCGGTGGCACAGGCTGTGGGTGGCTGCGGGGCCGGCATTGCTGAGCCGCCAGGAGCACCCAGAAGGGCTGCGGGTGACTCCGCACGCTATGTGGGTGCAGCTCCCGAGGGACTTGCTCCTTCCAGGACCTAGTTGGCAACAATCTAGTTGAGCTTTGTATCTCCCTGATATTATCCAGTCACTTCAGTACTACAACTTGCAAGGCTTTTATTTTTTTTTTTTCCTTTTCTTTTCTATACTGGAAACAATTGCCATTTTCTACTGAAGATTTTTCTGGCAAAGAAAAGAAAAAAATGCACAACCGCCACTGACTTGAATTCTTGACATGGCTAAAGCATTTAACAGCTTTGTGTTGCATTTGAAGATTGCAGAGAAAGAAAACTCAGCAAAGTTCTGAAAAAAAAAGCAAAGACCCTAATATTGTAGGCTTGAAAGAGTTCATTTTGTTATTTCAAAAAAAATGACCATTTCCACTTTTCTACTCAAAGTTACTTTTGGAATTTTACTTTAGCATTGCATAAAATATTTTAAAATATTAAAATAAGATGAAGTGGCTTGTTCCTGGTTGAGAAAAACATGTTTTGTTTAACTAAAAATGAACACGAACTAACCTAGCAGCCACTTAGTTGTGTAGCCCTGATTTTCACTTCTGTAAGAGGGGGAAAGCCTCTTGCCATTTTGCCATGGTTGTTACCCTGTCTCCTAAAGATCGAACTGAGCTGCAGAGAGATTAAATGAGTGTCTGAAGTCCCAAGAGGAGTCTGTGGCAGGGCATTATTTGGGCCCCAAGGCATTTTGCCTCTATCCCTTTTGCTAGCACCTTCCTAGCTGGCACAGCTCTGCTTGTGGTCATGATGACAGCCCAGACGGGGACAGGTGTATTTTAATAACAAGGTCTTACATGAGATTATTGATAGCCTCGGGCACAGCAGGGCACTGATTTTGGCTGGACCTGTGGTTCCTACAATAACACAAACACTAGCTAACAGTAACATGATACAGAAAACTCCTGCAGCCAAATATCCTAAATTCCCTGAATCAAAACCTGACAAACTAAATGGCTCAAAATACCAAAGCATAAGATCAGAATATAATTCATGTGAAAAAAAAAAAGAAAAAAAAGCCTCTTGATGCATTTGAAATTGCTGTCTACTCTGTTTTTTCTTCTCTTTTCTCTCAGCAAGCATCTCTGCACTCATCTTTTACACTCCTTGCTCTTTTCTCTCAGGTAGTGCTTAACACTATGGCTCTTTGTCCTCCTGATGGAAAAATCCAGATGGAAAGAAGTGTGGTTCACAGGGAAATGATCATGTAAGTGGAATTAATCTTTCAGATACTATAATGTGAAATCTGATCTTCCTTTTTGTTAAGAAGACCCAATCTGTGTCTCTACATTTTGGTCAGAATCTGACGCTAAGAGAACCCAGGAGTCTCTTGAGGTAGAGCTGAAAGCCTCGTGTGCAGAAACAGGCACATTTAAAAGCAATAGCAAAGTTAAAACAGCCAGATGGGAACCTAGCAGGCAACCAAGAGGGGAACTCTCTGTTTTCCTTGCAAGCCTACAGGGGCTTGTTTGCAGGAATT